GAGTAAAGCGTTTTCACTTATAATTAGAAGCCAAAACCAAAAAAAACCAGTGTTGCTCTTTTTTCCTAACAAACGCTTATTTTCCCCATTGCCACTCTTTAGGAACTCATGCAATAAACAAATTATCTTAACGGGTGCCACTCAAATATCTCCATTTAGCGTTTTTCATACCTGATCCATGATAGTTATCAGTTGCTGTCTGTACTGATTATTTATGGCCAGTTGTTCAGTACTCCAGAAACAGGAGTCTACCAGAAACTCGTGGTACTGATGGATTTGTTCCTGGCAGCACGAGATTGAACTAATTCTGGGTATTCTCCTCCCAAAGCCCAATTATGTTAAAATTTTCCAGATTACAGAGCAAATAAAGTGTTTAAATATAGTCTAAAATGTAACTTCGGAGGGGAAAATATATATATATATACGCACACATACATACACACATACATACACACACACACACACATATACATACATACATGTTAATGAGCTATCATATAAATAATTCATTTCCATCAGGCTGCTAAAGAGCAAATACATATAGCAGAGAACTTTACAAAGATTATTTTGCATATTGTAGAGCAGTTAATATTTCATAGTTAAAATGGAAGCCTGGATGTAGCTTTATGACCTATTTTCTCCCTCCCACTCCTTCTTCAGACTTTTATTGGAGAAGATGGTGAGGAACGGGGAAGAGAATTCAGTGGGAGGGAAAAAATTGGTTGCTTTCTTAATATTAAATCTTAACTCTTTCCTGCCTTTCTAATATTTAACCACATCATCATCAGAATTGTTGTTTTACCTTGAACTCTGATGGTATGTTCTACAACTGCTTCTGTAACTGCCCCTCTTGTAAAGGAGTCTCTCCATGGTGGGACCCTCTAGCTACAGTGTACCATGGCCAGGGAATCTGGCACCTAAAGGAGTATGCAAGTAGGAAGCACCTGAACTATAAATCCCAAGAGGTCCTATTGCAGCATATCTGGCTCAAAATACCGCAGTTTTGGACAAAAAAGTTTCTACTTTTGAATTTCTGCTAAAAAGGCAAAATTTTAAATACATACACACACATGCATAAGTACACACACACAAGCAAATCAAACTCAGCTAAGGATTCACTACTAAAGTTCACTGCACTAATCTCCAAAGGCATATTACATGATGCACAAAAGTTATGATATTTCTAACTTTACAAGTGAAATAGTATTTTGTAAAACTACAAAGAATATTATAGAACAAGAACCAAAGCATGTAAGCAGCAACCGCTTAACTTTTTCTGAAGTGCTAAAATTGGGGCCTAGTGCAACTACATTTACCTGTGGGAAATCAATCTAAAAAAGGCTAAGGAGAATATTGATAGTGGTTTTAAAGAGGTGAGTTTCAATTCATGATATTTTGAAAAGGTCCAGTATTAAGAGCAAAGGAGAAAACTAAAATGCCCTTCCCACTTCCATCTATTTGTAGGTTCCCAGGATCGCACGTAGGTGAACTGTAGGCCCCAGGAGCAAATTTTGAACTTCAGTAATTTCAACTCCATGGGCACATCTACATAAGATGTTTACAGCAGAGCTGCCTAATTAGCTCCAGAGTAAAATCTCCACGACTACACGTGAAAGTCCTATTAGGCCACAGTAAACTAATAAAAATACAAATACTATCCTCTGGTGGAGATCTTTAATGCACAGCAATGCACGTGTAGATGCTGACCTGGCTGGCTAGAGCATAAGGGTGCTTCAGTGTGGGGGGCTGTCTGCTGGCTAGCCCCACTGGAGTACCCTCATGTCCCAGCCAGCCCCTCCACAGCACACTGAGCCAGGTCAGAGCAGTCCCAGGCTGGCAGCCTGACTCCCTGGTCCCCCTGTGAGCTGGGGCTGCTTCGACCCAGCTCAACGTGCTGCAGTCCCAGGCACATGTGTAACCACAGCGCTTGGGAGCAATAAACTCTGCCATGATATGCACCAGAGTTTATTGTATTGCATTAATCACATGTGTAGACGTGCCCCATATGTAGGCAGTTAAGCATGTGTACTAGTTTTTGTGGGATCAGGGCTTGCTCATTAATAACCTGGAATTTCTTACAGTCATTTCACCCAGGGGTTGGACTCTGTCTAAATAGAAATCTTTCCGGGAATCTGGTAAAAAGATTGATGAAAATTAAAAATCTACTTAGTGAAGCTGAAGTAACCAATATGTGATTAATACTTTCCAATTATATTTCAGTACAGTACATTGCTGAGTTTGTTATTACCTGCACTCTTAACACTCCATCTGCAGTGTTAAATCCATCTGTTGCTGAAAATATGACTATATCTTCAAGGGTTTCTGAATCATCATGTTGGTACCTTTAACATAATTATAATGAAAAGTGATATTCATTATCTAGTGGAAATTAGAAACCTATAAATAGTAGCTGGGGTGGGGGAAGGGGAAAGGACGAAGGTCCAGCTATGCCCACCTCTTGCAAATTTGATTATGTGGGTAGCTCCCATTTGATTTTAGCATATTGGTCCATATTCAGATTTAGCACAAATCAACACAGTTAATGGGGCTACACTGATTTACACTCACTGAGAATCCAGCTCATAAGCATTATTAAGAGGTCAAAAGGAAGATGGTAGTTCATAGAATCACAGAGAAATAGGGCTGGAAGGGACCTCCACAGATCATCTAGTCCTACCCCCTGCCTGAGGGAGAATCATCCCTATCCAAATCATCCTATACAATACATAATCTAAACTCTATATAAGACTATCATCAATCCTGACACAACACAAACCTTACACCCTAACCTGCCAGAAGTAAAGCAGGGGAGTCACAGCAGCTAACGTCCTGCTTCTATGAAATGTTGTCAATATATCCTGAAGACATCCTGGGCATAGGGCCATGCTTTCTGCTATAGAAGAAGGCAAAAATCCCCATGGTCCATACCAACCTGACCATAGGGTAAAATTTCTTCCTGACCCCAAAATAGTGATTGGTCTGACCCTGTGTGTTGGGTCAAGCCAGGAAACTCCAGCTTTGGTTCCAGCAGGACCATTGGCACACCCCATTCAAAGATCCCAGCCTTGACTGTAGCCAACTTCCAATGTCTCTGAAGAAGGCTTAAAAACACCCTGACACATGCAGCAGAAAGTGGGGTTAGGAGCAACCTGCAAGGCCCAGAAGCATGGGCAATCCCCCTGGTTGGCATAGTTACACCCAGATCATCCTCTTGAATACTTCCCATGATGGAGAGTCCACAACTTCGCTAGGCAGCCTACTCCACTGCCTCACTGTTTTAACGATGAAGACTTTTTCCAAATATCCAATCTCAATTTTGTTGCAACTTCAAGCCATTGGTCCATGTCCTACTCTCTGCAGCAAGAGAGAAAAGGTGTTTTCTCTCCTCTTTATGGCAGCCCTTCAAGTATTTGAAGATTACTATCAAGTCCCCTCTTAAGTGCCTTTTCCACAAGCTGAACACCTTGCTCCTAGCTAGAGGTGAGTTAATGATGCAAGTCTCACAGTCCACATCACACTCCCAGCATGTTTGTGGAGAGATGTTTCAGAGCCTACTCCCCACAACCAAACCCACTAGCATATATCAAACTGGACAGGTGGTGGTGAAGCCATTCCAGGGGGATCTCCTTGGCCAGTCTCATGCACACCTAAAACAGAGATCTCAACGGTGGCCACAAGGAGATGCCCCCGGAGTGGCTTTCCTAGGTTTGGTGCATGAGAGTGGAAGGGAGCAGAGCAGGCATGTTCAGGAGCAGCTTTCCCTGGATAGACAGAAGAGGCCGGGCTCCTAGACCAAAGAAAATCTTCATGTTTGCGCATGATCATGAAAGCTTCTTGTGTAACACAACATAAAGCATATTTGTGTTCTTACCTCCCAAGCCAGATAAATTGATGCTATTAAGGCAGCCATCACCATCTTCTATTTTAAATGAAAAGATAGGACCCAAAACAGATATGAGTTATGTTTAGAGCTCCATATTTTCTAAATATTTTCTAAAATTCCCTCTTTGTTGTCCAGCCCCCAGATTTGGAGATGTCCCTTACAAAGTATCCCAAGGCAAGCTATCAACATAACTATCTCTGACTGAGGAAATATCAGAAGATTCCTAATGGTGCACTGAAAATGCATCTAAAAATAACAACTAAATGGATATGAGGCTATTTTTCCCCAGCAATCTATTTAAGAAGCAGATCAGAATTGTTTTTCTTTTTGAATCCAAGCAAATTATTTGCAATGCAGATTTTTTTAAGGTGGAAGCCAAATCAGTTACCTGACTTTGTGAGACTGCAAGTCCTCAGGGGTAAATATATCTCCTTCCACCATAATGAGTCCATGAAATTCAACGTGCCCATGGTGAGGACATTTCTTTAACTAAATTCAAAAGTTACCATTCTTAGTGTCCAGGTCAGTTACCATTACGTTTTCTCCAGTGATGAAAGAACTGGCCCCTTCCTCTGTTTTTAGGTGACTGGTGAAAATCTAAAACAGTGATGAACTCACAAAATACACTGAGATACTATAAGTGATAGCAATGTTAATGTAATATGTCAGCAGTTAACTAGTATTTAAAAGGCAGACTCCAGCATGGGAATGTCTGTACTGCCTTTTCTAATGATCTGCAATCATCCTCAGTCTCAGTACAGTCTCTTCCCAGGACTCTCATCCACATATCTTGCCAGAAAGAGCCCTCCACCTCAAAGTTTCCATTTTAATTTTTGATTGATACTATCAACTTTTAGCATAGCATGGAAGTAATGGTGCAAAATAATGATTTCTGCCCTAGTTGAGAAAAAGTTTAGGAGATATCTCTCCACAATCTATCCACCTAGTATCTCAGTGTACAACCTCCCTCAGCACATACAAAACAGTCTGTTTCTCTTAGATAAGCACTGTTAGGAATTAAAGACTAACAAAAGTACACCTACTTGGCCCGTACTTGCAGGGAGGCAATCAGATGGGCCAAAGCAGAAATGGAGCTCAGGCTGGCAACAACAATTAAAGACAACAAAAAGTCCTGCTTCAGGACTTTATATAGGGGAGTAAAAAGATAAACTAGTGCAATTAGTGACAGATAGAGGGGACAAAGCTGAACTCATCAATGAGTTTTTTGCCTCTGTATTCCTGAACATGGATCAGGACAAATCTCCCAATTGGAACATAGACAGGCACAAAAGAGAAACCAGCCTTTTGTTAGCACTGACTTAGTGAAGGGGCACTTGAAAGGGCTGGATGTGTTTAAGTCTACTGTAGCTACTGCCCCTGCTCTCCCCAAGACAAAACGCAAAGTGTTTGTCATGGGATACTCTATCTGAGGGGGACTGAGGGGGCAATCTGCCACCCTGACCCCTTAGCCCAGGAAGTCTACTGCTTCCCAGGAGCCCACATCCAAGACATTGCGGAGAATATCCTTAAACTCCTCCAGTCCACTGACCATTATCCTTTGCTCCTTACCTATGTGGGCACCAATGACACAGCTCAGAGCACTCCCAGCCAGGTCATGAGGTGCTACAGGGATCTGGCAGTGGAGCTAAAGGGTCTGGGGGCGCAGGTGGTGTTTTCTTCGATCTTCCCAGTCTTGGGCTATGGGTTGAGGAAGGAGAGGAGGATCCAGGTAGTGAACCAAAGACTGCAGCGCCGGTGTCATCAGGAAGGCTTTGGCTTCCATGACCACAGCCCTCTCTTTGGAGAGAGAGGCAGCAAGCTGCTGGGAAAGGATGACCTCCACCTCTCTCCGCTGGGGAGGAGGCACTTCTCAGCCAGACTGGCTGACCTGCTTCACCGGGCTTTAAACTAAGCCTGCCGGGGGTGGGGGAACTACTGCCATGGCTGACCCACTGAGCAACCCTTGCAAAGCCAGCGGGCCAAGGCATTTAAGAGAGCCCGCCCCTGCCCCAGCCCTGGATCAATCTGTGGGCAAGGAAAGGGCCCCCAAGGGGACACTTGCCTGCCTGTACACGAATGCCAGGAGCTTGGGCAATAAGCAAGAGGAACTTGTCCTCCTGATAAATGTAAATGACTATGATGTCATAGGGATAACGGAGACCTGGTGGGACTCCACCCATGACTGAACCACAGATATAGATGGCTATACCCTGTACAGAAGGGGTAGAGTGGACAAAAGGGGTGGGGGGCTACGCATCCCTGCAAGCCAATACTGGTGACCAGAGTAGATGACTGGAGACCCTCTGGGTTAAAATCCATGGGGAACATGGCACAGGGGACACAATGGTGGGAGTCTACTACAGACCTCCCACCCAAAGTCAAGAGCTTGACAAGGAGTTCACTAGCGAATTGGCTGAGGCCACACACTCCTGGTGCATGATTGTCATGGGAGACTTCAATTACCCAGACATCTTGTGGGAAGAGTGCTCAGCTAAATCAGAGCAGTTGCAAAGCTTTCTCTCATGCGTGGAAGACCTCTATCTGACTCAAGAAGTCTACGGGCCAATGAGAAGTAAAGTGCTGCTCAACCTGGTACTGGCAACTGGGGACGACCTAATCAGCAACCTAATGATTGAAGGGAAGCTGGGTGACAGCAACCACAAGCTGATCACCTTCACCATCTGACATAAAGCTGGCAAGTCAGTCAGCAATACAGAAGTCCTTGACTTTAGGAAAACTGACTTTGGCAAGCCCAGGAGGCTTGTTGGTGAGGCCCTAAGGGACCACAACCCCAAGGGGAGGGGAGTTCAGGAAGAGTGGTTGCTCCTCAAGGGAGCAATTCTCGAGGCACAAGCAAAGTCTATCCCATCTCAGAGAAAAGGCAGCAGAAGGGCACAGCAGCCCCCTGGCTCTCCAGAGAACTAGTGGACCTCCTATGGCTAAAAAGAAAGGCCTAGAAAGGATGGAGGATGGGATCCACCTCCAAGGAGAAATATTCCTCACTGGTCCAGTCCTGCAGGGAGTGAACCAGGAAAGCCAAGGCTGCAACTGAACTCCAACAAGCTACAAGTATCAAGGACAATCAAAAGTCCTTTTTCAGATATGTGGGGAGCCGGAGGAAAAGCAAGGGCATCATTGGACACCTGCTAAACCAGATGGGACAACTGACAACTGACACCCAGGAAAAAGCCAACCTATTAAATGGGTACTTTGCATCGGTCTTTCATGAGTCCCACAGGACACCCATGCCCATTACGGGACAGGGAGATTCCCTGCCCTCCATCAATGTAGACCTCATGAAGGAACACCTTGATAGGCTGGACACCTTCAAGTGAGCTGGCCCTGACAATCTACACCCAAGGGTACTCAAGGAGCTGGCAAGCATCATAGCCCAGCCCCTGGCACGGATCTTTGAGAGCTCCTGGTGCTCTGGTGTAGTGCCCAAAGATTGGAAGAATGCCAATGTGGTGCCAGTCTTCAAGAAAAGGAGGAAAGTGGATCCGGCAAACTACAGGCCTATCAACCTGACCTCTATCCTGGGGAAGATCTTGGAAAAAATTATCAAAGAGACCATTCTTGACAAACTGGCTGATGGCAACATCCTGAGGGACTGCCAGCATGGGTTTGTTGCGGGTAGGTCTTGCTTGACCAATCTCATTTCTTTCTACGACCAGGTGACCTATCACCTGGAAAAGGGAGAAGAGATTGATGTCATATATCTTGACTTCAAAAAAGCCTTTGATCTGGTATCCTATGATCACCCCTTGGTAAAACTGGCCAACTGTGGCCTCGGGTCCACCACGATCTGCTGGCTGAGGAATTGGCTTCGTGGCTGGACACAGAGGGTGGTGGTTGATGGAAGTCAATCGTCATGGTGCCCTGTGACCAGTGGGGTCCCCCAAGGCTCTCTCCTTGGACCCATGTTGTTCAACATCTTCATCAATGATGTGGACATTGGAGTCAGAAGCAGACTGGCCAAGTTTACCAACAATACCAAACTCTGGGGCAAAGCATCCACACCTGAAGACAGGAGGGTGATCCAGGCTGACCTGAACAGGCTCAGCAAATGGGCAGACAAGAACCTCATGGTGTTTAACACCAAAAAATGCAAGGTTCTCCACCTTGGGAGGAAAAACCTGCAGCATCCTTATAGGCTCGGCAGTCCTATGCCAGCTAGCACTACAGATAAAAGGGACTTGGGGGTCATGATTGACCACAAGATAAACATGAGCCTTCAATGAGATGCTGCAGCTAGTAAAGCGACCAAAACACTGGCTTGCATCCATAGATGCTTCTCAAGTAAATCCCGGGACGTCATTCTCCCCATGTACTCAGCCTTGGTGAGGCCACAGCTGGAGTATTGTATCCAGTTTTGGGCCCCACAATTCAAAAAGGATGTGGAGAAGCTTGAGAGAGTCCAGAGAAGAGCCACGCGCATGATCAGAGGTCAGGAAAACAGACCTTATGACGACAGGCTGAGAGCCATGGGGCTCTTTAGCCTGGAAAAGCGCAGGCTCAGGGGCGATCTGATGGCCACCTATAAGTTTATCAGGGTGACCACCAGGATCTGGGGGAATGATTGTTCACCAGAGAGCCCCAAAGGATGACATGGTTGAATGGTTATAAACTACTGCAAGACTGTTCCAGGCTGGACATAAGGAAGAATTTCTTTACCGTCCAAGCCCCCAAGGTCTGGAATGGCCTGCCATCGGAGGTGGTTCAAGCACCCACATTGAATGCCTTCAAGAGAAATTTGGCTGCTTATCTTGCCAGGATCCTATGACCCCAGCTGACTTCCTGCACCTGGGGCAGGAGGCTGGACTCAATTTTCCGAGGTCCCTTCGAGCCCTAATGTCTATAAAATCTATGTCTAAGTCAGCAGGTCCAGATGATCTTCACCCAAGGGTACTGAAGGAATTGGCTGGTGTCATAGCAGAGTCACTGGCATGGCTGTTTGAGCACTCCTGGTGCTCAGGTCAGGTCCCAGAGGACTGGAAAAGGACCAAGGTGGTCCCTATTTTCAAGAATGGGAGGAAGGAGGATCTGGGTAACCATAGACTGGTTAGTCTCACTTCTATCCTCGGGAAAACCTTTGAAAAAATTATTAAGGATCACATTTGTGGGAGTTGCATGGGAAAAACAATGCTGAAGGGCAACCAGCACCGATTCATAGGAGGTAGATCCTGCCTGACTAAACTTGTTTCTTTTTATGACCAGGTCACAAAATGTTTAGATGCATCTACTTGGATTTTAAGAAAGGCTTCAATACAGTATCTCATCCTATTCTCACAGATAAACTGAGAAGCTGTGATGTAGATGATTACACAGTCAGATGGGTGGCAAATTGGCTTAGGGGTCAGACCCAGAGAGTGGCGGCGGACGGGTCAGTATTGACCTGGAAAGGTGTGGGCATTGGAGTCTCACAGGGCTTGGTCTTGGACCTATGCTGTTCAACGTCTTCATCAGTGACTAGGATGAGGGCGTGGAAAGCACTCTGTCCAAATTCACTGATGATACCAAAATATGGGGCAAAGTTAACACACTAGAGGGTAGGCAATGAAGCCAGGTGGATCTGGACAGGTTGGAAATGTCAGTTG